AAAGAAAATTATGAAATAGATGACATCATACCTGTTGTAGACAACAATATTTTTCCAAATTTTTATAAACTTTTCCAAACTGCAGGTACTATACCTACATCATCTGCCTCTTGTGAACGTTCATTTTCTGTTATGAGGCGAATAAAGAATTGGACTAGAAATACCATGACAAATGATAGATTTACAAACTTGTCAATACTTCATATAGAAAGAGATTTATCACATGCAATAGAATCAGAAAATGTACTTAACATATTTTCAGAAAAACACAGACGCCTAGCTTATGTTTGATTAAATAATTAAATTTTAATTGTTTTATCTTTTTTTTATATTGCAAAATAAAATGCCAGATTAAGAAGAAGGCAAATATAAATTGTTTTTTTTTTAGAAGATGTTCTTTTTCTTTTTAATTCCAGTTAAACGGAAGGAGTTTTTTGAATGGTATATTTTTCTAGTCCTATATAGCCCCCACATATAATTATGCCAAACTACGCCCATGTCTATCATTTGTTCGATTTGGATATCAGTCAACATACCAGCTGCCAACTCCATGGTTAAACATATACTGATGAATGATGATATTGTGGCGGCGCAGCCACCACATAATTACCTCCCGGACGATGTCGGCACTGTAAGGCGTTGGTTACCGCCCTGGCTCAAACCGGCCTTCGTCCTGCGCGACGACCCGTTGGCCGACCACTCATATGCCGCCCACGTCATCGATCGCCAACGTACGCAGTTAAAAAACCAACAAGTTTGTTTTCTCCTCCGGGGGGGGAGTAATGTGGCAGCGCAGCCACCACATAATTTCCTCCCGGACGATGTCGGCACTGTAAGGCGTTGGTCACCCCCCTTTCAAACCAACGGTTGGTTTTGCGCGACGGCTACGGTCTAGCCGCCACCCGGACTTCTCTTCTCTCCCGCGACTTCGACGCAGTGTTGCCGAACTAGCCATTTTATAGCTAGACCTAGCATTTTTTAATAGTGGTCTAGCTATTAAATTCTCCATCTAGCAGGTGCCGGTTTTCCTAGCATTTTTACCAAACCAATATTGCCTTTTTTAGCTTTTTTTGCTAAATTACTTTTTAAATGAAATATTCGATAATTTTTACTTTTTAATCAAAATTGTCATTTATCACACTATTGACACTATCACTATACTCGTCGCCAATATTTGCTATCATATTCCATCACCTGTTATCAAGATATATGATTTTTACATTTTTACGTAAATCATGCTGATAATTACAATAACAACTAATTATATGACATTGTCACGGACCGTGGACAATTATATCGGACGGTGATTATGACCATTGACCATGTTAATCACTCTTCAGATTATACCATTTATACCTAGGTCTATGACATAATAATTAACCAATAATATTATATTATTATTTTCTATTGTCTATTAATCGATTATCGGCTATCGAGCAAATAGTAAATACTAATTAATAACCTAAAATAATAATATTACTTAATTATATTAGTTTTAAACAATTTACTTATTACTAGTCAACACGTTATTCCGTAGTTCCATGTTCCGCTTAAATTCTATGCTACTTAGGAATATTGTTATTTTTTGAAAACTTGGAAAAACAGTGAATATTTTTATATAAGTATGGGTAAACCTCAGTACCTTCAAAAATTTCGAGAGGAGTGGTTAACCGAAAAATTATTTAAGGACTGGTTACTAAAAATTGAAAATGATAATTCAAAGACCAGATGTAGATTTTGCAAAAGTGAAATTAACGCAAAACGTTATGATCTGATACAGCATTCAAATTCTAAAAAACACAAAGAAGCCTCTAAGGCTTTTTCGACATCCAGATCCATAACCTCATTAGGAAAAGTCTCATGTATAAAAACTTCAATGGCAGAAGGTGGATTAGCTTTGTTTATTGCGGCGCATTGCTCAATATTGAGTTGTGACCATCTTGGAGAGTTGTGTGTAAAACAGTTTCCTGACTCAGAAGCTGGAAAAGGTATTAAAATGCATAGAACCAAATGTACGACAGTGATATGCAATATTCTATCCCCTCATTTTGAAAACAATTTGAAAAAAAGTATTGCTGACCAACCGTACAGCATTCTCATCGATGAATCGACTGACATAAGTGTATTGAAGTTTCTTGGAATAACGATCATGTATTTTGACAGAAAAATTGGAAAAATAATGTCGACATATTTATCTTTGGTCGAAATGGAAGCGTGCGATGCAGATGCAATTACAGAGGCTGTCTGTAAAACTATTGAAGAAAAAGGCCTCAACATCAAGAAAATGGTAGGTCTTGGTAGTGACAATGCATCGGTAATGGTAGGTACTAACAACGGAGTTTATAAAAAATTAAAAGAGAAAGTTCCATCGCTTATCCATATACCTTGCGTTTGTCACTCATTGCAATTGGCGGTTTCAGCTGCAGCCAGTACAGCATTGCCTAGAAACATTGAGTATTTAATTAAAGAAACGTACAATTGGTTTAGCCATTCCACGCTGAGGCAGGCACAGTATAAAAATTTATATAATGCTATAAACAATGGACATAATCCATTGAAGATTGTAAAGGCGTGTGATACAAGGTGGTTGTCGATCGAAACAGCGGTTTCACGGATACTTCATCAGTGGATTGAGTTGAAAACACTTTTTCAAATAGCTAGGCAAAAAGAAAAGTGCTATAATGCTGAAATTTTATTTAACATGTATAGTGATAATAACAACCTTGCATATCTCACTTATTTACATCCTGTATTAGTTGAGATTCAAATTGTTAATAAGTCTTTCGAGTCTAACAATGTAGATTCTAGTAAACTTTTGGACGATTTAACAAATTTGGTATGTTCAATCGCCAAACGATTTGTGAACCCATACTGCAGAGAAAATCCCTTGACCTGTAACATGGATAGCTATACAAGCCCAAACATCCAATGGCCTCTCGAATTTACCAGTATACTTGAAAAAAGCAACTCATCAGAAGACGAAAAAAAACAATTGAAGGAAAGATTAGTCCAGTTCCTACAAATATTACTGAAGCAGTTACAACAGCGGTTGCCAAAAAAT